AAAATATACTTAACAATTATTCAAACAAAAAATAAACCACTTAACAGTTCACATCTATACCGTTATAGATGTACAAAAACTAATAAAATAAAATCAATGGGTAACTGTCAAAATGACGGTTACACAATTACCCCTCCCAAAAAAATATAAATAAAAAAAATAAGAAGTATTTTTTTATTATTTAAATTATTTGGATCGCAAACAAAATTACCTCAAATAAATCCAAGCCAAAAAAAATTTAAATGTGCGGGTTAACATAGACCAAAAAAAGTAAAAGTTAAATTGTGACAGATATAGAGGAGAAACGAAGCAGACCGCTGGTCATGCTACGCCTCTAAACCATAAGTAAGTAAAACGTCAGAAAGGTAAATTTAAATGGAAAGCAAATTCTCCTTGAAGAGGAAGGATCCTGACAAACCCAGTAAAGTTTGGAACTCGTCCTACAACAAAAAAAGGGAGGCATATGTTTATTAAACAAAAAAGTGTTATTTTTCTATAAAGAATGCACTGTTTAAGTTTGGCCCCCTAATTTCGTCCGAAATGGAAACTTTTGTGAAGAACGCGCCTCCGAAATCGGATCCGCATTCGAAAAATCGGAGGCCAGTTGGAAAGCAGCTAGGAGGTAATTCGACTTGGAAACACATACAGATACACAATCCGGTTCACCGTTCTTACGATGAGGGCGCTACTGTTTTATACAGATTTTTACCAAATTAAGTATACCAGTTGATATACCTCCGAACACTTTCTATTTAACCGAAATTTGGCAACAGGGTACGGGGGCCATTTACTGCCACGAGTATGTATTTCTGTAAATGTATCTTATTAAAAAAAAATATATTTTTAATACGTTAATGAAATAATGATATACATTTTATGATTGGACTCCTGAAAAAATAAAGGTATTATTATTACAAATTATTTTTGGGTTTAAACAATAAATACAAAGTGTAAGTCTGTAAACTGCTCAAAATGTATTCATATAATCATTTATAACACTTTATTAGCAAATACTCGTAAAAAAGTTCTTTTTTTAGGACTAAATATAGTTCTGCTCTTGTGATACACTTTTTAGCTCAACAACTTGAAAATAAAGACGAAAACACTTAAATGTGGAAATATGTGGAAAAAAAAATAATTTCCTCGTAAAACCAATATTCAATGCTATTGATTATGCTGGCGCTCAAAGCGAAACTTTGCAAAACTTTTTTTATAACCTTTTATCAGGTTTAATAATAAACTAAACAATGCAAATTTTACTCTGTTTAGATAATTGGATAATTCACATAGAGAAATTAGATTTACATCGTTAATATATACGTTGATTTAAAGTACTTAAAACATGGTAACACCTCCATTTTAAAAGTTTTAGATTTACTTCGCGGTGACTGCAAATTTACACAATGTATTAGCACTAAATTTGGCAAAATACAGGTTGCGCGCACGACTACCTGACAACACGCGAATAATATGACATTTTTTTAACCCTGTCTTTATCCGTTTTACAATTTTTTTGTTGTTTCTAAGGTTTTAAATATTTGAGAACATCTTGCTATGTACATAAATAAACGAATATTATTGTATTCTGTTTTTTTTACTTCTGTCGCAGTAAATACCTCATTTTGCCTTACGTGCGATCGGGCGAAAATTTACCGAGTTTATCCCAAAAACGCAAAAAAGCAAGAATTTGGTTTTGAAAAAATTACTTAAAAATAATTTTCCGCAATTTTTTAAATTTTGGATTTTTTCTTTTTTAAGCCTTCAGAAGTAGTTATTTTACACAAATTTATTGAAGGATTTTTTTCCCGACCTAAAATTCAGCGAGTTATGGAGGTAAAAACGTACCTGAAAGAAACGTCAAATTTTGACGTTTCTCAATTTTTTAATTTAAAACAATCATATCTCGGAAACTAACAGAGATAAACTTACGCTGTTTTTACAAAATGATTTTTTTTGTAATGTCATATACGTTATCTTGTTAAAATAAAGATGTCTGCCTCAAACAGAGAATTTAAAAAAAAGCGACAACTTTTGAATTTAAAAAAATCCTATTCGATTATTCTGTTTCACCAAAGAATTTTTCATAAAAATATTTTTTGTCTTGCTAATAATTAATTTTTAAAATATAAAAAAATAATTTACCTGTGACAGTTTGAAGGTGTAATTTAAAGAAACAAACAATACGCTAAAGAAGTATCGCTAGTAGCGCCACCTGATGTTATCATCGTAACAAAAGTAAAACTTTTAATAATCAGCTGTGAAAGGCTTAGGTTACAAACGAGTATTTTTGAGAATAAAGCCGGAAAATGTTAAAAATATCGGAAAAAAAACGTGGATCGATTTGTTGTGTTGTTGGGTTTATTTCGAGAGGAAATCCTGGGTTGAGTTTTTACCGGTTTTCCAATAAACAGTGTTAATCTGAATGAAGAAATACATTGCATACAGTCTCTGTAAATATAAATTGTACCTATTAGATACAATAAATACACATTTTAGTAGTGATTAACGTGAAAAGTGTAAACATTTCAATTCAGTAAAAATCGTCAAAGAAATAGGTCGTCTAAATTTAAATAGCATTGAGCATTATTAAAAGCGTTGATTCAGAATTCTTTAAATTCTCCACTCAACGGTGAAATACCATTGTATTATGTATTATATATAATATTATTTTGCCATGAATTTGTAGGTATATTTTGTTGTTTAAAATGCAGTTTTCGGCGATTTTTAGAGAACACTAATATAAACATTATTGATTTTTAGATTATTTTTTACTAATTTCTTAAAAATGTCCAAACTTAAATATAAATTATATTAGGTAAAGTTATCATTAGTTAATTCTGCACCAACAAATGTACTTACCGAATTGGATTCTTTGGCAAAACATAAAAAATGCAACGATTTGGTTCTTGAATTTTATTTACAATTAAAAACACAATAATTCACCATGATCCCTTTGATAAAATACGCACACTGACGTAACTATGTAAGCATTTAAGCGTTGAGTTTCTTAATCAATGATATAAGGAATAATCAATCGAAATTGAGTACTAAAAAAGTTTTTTAATTTTTTCCTTGCAACGTAAAACACAAATAACGTGAGCGATTTAGCTGTGCAATTGAACAAAATTTGTGGAGTAAGACTTCTGCCTTCTTCTCTTTTGTAAAAAAAGTACTTATTTATTTAAAAATGATGTATAATCGGTACTTTAAATTTATTGTTGACAATGCTTAAAGTCACGCAATGCATTCGAAGTTCACCAGATGGCGCGCGCGTTGCGAAAACCCGATACTTCTTTAGCGTATGGCTGTCGCGAATTACTTAATTTTTACCCTTCGGGGCACAGGTACGTTAATCGCGAGCGAATGATGTCGATACGTCAAATCTGATGTTTTTCAAAACAGCCAAAAAATCCGTTTCCGGTGTTTTCCGGAAATGTTGCAAAATTGACCGAGTTATGCCCAAAAACAAATAAAAGCTGGAATTTGGTTTAGAAAAAATGCCTTAAAAATAATTTTTCACAATTTTTGATTTTTTTTTTTTTGAGATTTCAGAGGCAATTATTTTACATAAATTTAGTGAAGGAATTTTTCCTTGGCCTAAAATTAAGCGAGTTATGCTAAAATAAAGATTTCTGCCTAAAAACTGAAAATTAAATAAAAAACCGACTTTTGAATTAAAAAAAACCTATCTCGAAAACTAATAAAGATACACCTATGCTGCTTTCACCAAACGATTTGTCATTAAAATATATTATTTTAATGTCGTATACATAATTTATATGACATTAAAAAATATATTTTTATGACAAATCGTTTGGTGAAATGTATAATACATTATCTTGCTAAAATTAAATTGTTTGCATAAAAAAGGAAATTTTCAAAAAAATTTAAAAAAAATTGACGAATTTTTGAAAAAAATGTCCAAATATTAACGATTTTGTAAAATAAATTGCAGAAGGAGAAGAGAAAAAAAAATAATATTTTGTAAACAAAGTTTACCTTGACGTTTGGTAAAATTACAAAAAAAGTTGATATAAACAGTATTAATTAAAAAATGACTTGATTTTTTTAAATAGCAAAAAAAATAAATTGAGCAGTAGGCCATGTTAATTTCTTTCGATGATTTTTATTTTTTAGTATGTTAAACAACAATTTTTTGGACATCCATTCGTGTTTTTTGTTCGCTTAAACTCTTCTTAGTTTTCAAGATTTTTTTTTTTGAAATTCGGGAAATTTTTTTTTTTTAATATATTTTAATAGATAGTCCTCGTACACCTTTTCACCAAATTTGGTTTTTCCTCGTCGATCCCTTCGACCTGGAAGCCGGATAGGAAAAACCCCAAAATTGAGTCGAAAAACAAGTAGGTTCTTGTGATTTTGAACAAGAATCCACCTTAAAAATACTTGGTTTACGTTGGAACTCCACCACTGATGTCAATTACACGGGTTTTGTGATGGTTCCGAAAAAGTCTACGCTGCCGTTGTTTATTTACGTCTATCTCCAAATGATTCTGACCAGGCACAAATTTACTTTATATACGCAAAATCGCGCGTCGCACCACTTAAGCTTCTGTCGATTTCACGCTTGGAATTATGTTCCGCCGCACCGTTGCCAATTTTGATGTAAAAACGAACTTTTTTCATAACTTTTTTAAATGTTAACCAATTTGTATGAAATTGTGTATACTTACTAAAAAAAGCCGTAGAATACAGTGGTATATATATTTCTTAGGGGGTTGCAAATCTAATATTGACCAATTTGTATGAAATTTTATATACTTACTTTAAAGGAGCCGTAGAGTACAGGGGTATATATACTTTTTATCTAACTTATTTTTAACAACCCTTTACATTAAAATGAAAATGCTTCAAAAATGTATTATTTATAGTATCTAGTGTATTTTAAATTAAAACCAATAAAAAAAATATTTATCCAAATTAACCTTTTAAGGAGGTTATATTTTTACAATTTACAATTTTCACTTTAATCTTCACCTGCTTCATCCTTTAACTTCCTCATCGTCCTCACTCTCGTCATCATTCTTATCACCATTCTCGTCATCATTCTCATCATCATTCCCATCATCATTTTCATGTATTAATATAAAAGGCCGGATATCGGAACTTAACTTAATTTTTTTCTTGGATCGGATCTAATTATCAGTCTCTTAAAAAGATCTGTATTTACCCTTTTTAAATTAACTTTAGTTGTAAACGCGTCTCTATATTTTCTAATATCTTTATCTTTTGCTTCTTGTGCTTCCTCGGATAGCTCACCTATTGGCAATATTGCTTCACCAATAACTGAAGCACCATGTATTAAAATGGTATGTACAGAAGTCAGCATATGATACCAATTGTACAATTGGATAAATCTTCTGGCCGTTGACAAGCAATATTCTTTAAAATATTCAATATTGATTTGGTAATCAGAGAGTAATCATACAAAATAATGGCAAATCTTTGTATAAGATCTTCGTCGATTCCTGCGATTCCTACAAAAAAGTTAAAGTTGACTTTGAAATAAAAATCATTAATGAGTTGACTTACCGTTAATTTCCGCAGACAAAAAATATCCTAGCTGTGTTTCCATCATTGGTGCTCCCGTGTCCTTGCCTGACACAGTCCACTTTAATCCCCATCATTGATCGAAATTCTACTTGAATTTTCTTTTTTCTCTCAGAAAATTGTATTGTATTATTTTTGGAGACCTTCCAAACTCTTAGTTCTAAACGATATGCTACATGAAGCAAACATTCAAAAAACCTCATATGTGCATATAGCGTAGACAGTCCATACTTTAAAACATCTTGTTTCTCCGGAAGACTTGTTACAAAATCAATCATTCATTTTGGAAATTTTTACTTCGCAAATATGACAAGTCATACTAGACGTTCTCGTTATCTCCCCACAAGCCTAAAAATAATATAAATGAGTAGATTTTGACAACATATTATTAAATTATTAACAAACCTTTCCGTTAAGCATTGTTCGGGCTAAGTGAAATTTCACTGGACCTAAATCCGACTGATAGGGTACCAGCTCTTCTATTTCCCCGTTGACAGCAGCCTCTTCATCCCTAGTTATTTGGTCGGTTTCTTTCACCCAACGACAATACATTTTTGACGATGGTCTTGGATTCTTCCAAACTACTTCGGAGGTTTCCTCGCAGACTAATCGAAGTGGTACCAATGAAGTAACAAATAGCCTTTCATCAGATTAAACAATTTTTTCATCTTTTTTATATTTAAAACTAGTATATCCAGAACTTCCATCAAACCCACACTTGCAAATTAAAACTAACGACCGACTTTCCACAGATTCTTTTCCTAGACATCGTACGACACTTTCGCAAGTTTTATTTAAAATTGATTGTAAAGGAACCTCGCATAAATTATTGGAAATTGAAATATTCTCAGGGTAATACTTTTTTTTTCTCCTCTGTTAATTAGTAATATGACGGAAAAAATTTAAGGCCATGATCTGTTGTCAAAAAATTTGAACAAATTAACAATGAAAGTGCCTCGTCAATTGTGCATGATGAATACGAATGTTCATAAGCTTTTAAAATTTTACTGCCCGTTTTGGTGTGGTCATGGCCGGTTCTCTTAATAGTTTTGCAGTATCTACACTTCCCTGATATTTTATCTTCATGGCCATGGCAAAAACTAATTCCCCACAAGAATTGCGCTTTTTGAGTTCTTGAGTTTTTCTCCGTTTAATTAATTCAGATGAGTCTTCAAATTTAATTATTTTGCGTCCAACACCTATTTTAATATTTTAAATTAGAATACATTAAATAGGAATAACAACAAATACTTATGGCTACTGGATGTTGAAGGTTCAGGATTATATACATCCTGATTGTTAACTGTTTCCGGGAACACCATTTCATTGCTCAACCACTTCAAATTTTTGTTTAGTACGGTTAAGGCTATTCCATTTTCGAAAATATGGTGCAAAAAAGTTTTTTCTTGTATAAGTTAAAGGTCTTTCGTAGCCGTTTCAATTTCCTCAATACCAAAATATTCCTTTAGATAATCTAAAATTACATCTTTCCTCTCGTCAATAGAATTATTGGACATCATTTTTTGATGTAACATTAAACGAGTAATTGGCGTTTTGTCAGCCATACTAAAGACGCACAGATAAAGATATTCGCTATAATAATATCATAAAAATAATAATAATAATTCAAAAACTGTTATAGATTCAATGCAAAAGCTTATGCACAATTAAACAAAAACACAAACCAAGAATTAGATACACTCTTTTACTTTGTATACTCTTTTACTTGGTATACCTAAGCATTCGAAATTAGAAGGTAATTTTAAATTTAATATAGTATTTTACCTTAATGAAAATAAATTATTTTGGACAAAAATTACCTGTTGTTTATCATAATTTTCATAATCTTGCATAATAATACCATAGTTATATAAACTTAAAATTGCCTTAAAGTTAAAATTTAACTAAAAATAACATGCCTTTGAATAAGGGCTGTTGTACCCCTATTTCTAATTTTTTTTAAGGTCAAAATTATACCAAACGATTCTCCATGAAACCATAATTAAATACCACGCCAATAAATTTGCCGTTTTGATTGCAAATAAAACGGTATATTCAAATAAGCATTTTTTGTACTTAAAGTGGCTATATTTTGTTTAGGGCATAGGGCAACATATTCTTAAAATTTAAACCATATCTGAACAAGTCGATTAAGTTCGCTTTTCCATCAAAATTGGCAACTGTGCGCCGTGTTGTTGGCCGATTTGCCTAATTATGTTTGCGAAACTTAATAAAATAAATTATCATTTAAGAAGATTTATGCCTGGTTCGACTCTACAATTAAAGGGGTCAATGCAAGAAGTGCCTAAGTCACATTTTCAATGAAATTGACATTGTGGCGCTATCTGAGAGTGTTTTACTTAAGCTTTCAGGTGATTTTTGCAGAGTGGCACAAACTTGTGTCTAAGTGCCTTAGTTTGCATTTACTTCAATGTGAGTTTACCTGTTTTTCAATGCAAAAAGTACCTAAGTCAAGGCCTTAGTCCACGTTATTTAAATTAGGTAATATCTGAGCAAATTACCTATTAAGCTGTGTTAATCCTAATAATTTGTATCTGTGATTAAAAACATGACTATGGCAGGTAAGTGAAGTAGAATAAAACAGCTTGTGTTACCTTAAAACATACTGTTTTAACATTGGATATAGGTATAATTTATTTTGTTATTCTTATTTTACATTGATATGGAACCAATCTAAAAATTAAGCAGTTGAAATTTAACAACGTTACCCATCTTGTAAAGCACGTTCAATCATTGGACATTGAATTTTTTGTTTGAATATTGTCTCAAAATCAGGGTTCGCAAATATCATGATATTTACATAAATATCCGATATATATCAATGATATATATCCGATATATATCAAGTAATATATCTGCGAACCCCTTTTCAAAATGGAATTATAATTCAGAAAAATCATGCCATTGATGAAGAGTTTGATCAAGAGGCCGACGCTGTTTATGATAAGCCAGCCTTCTTATTATGTTCTAAGTTTTGCTTTAAGTTAAGTTTTACTTATCATGTTGTAATCTTTTTCTTTAAGCGTTAAAGTCATTCATATTATGTTTATGTAGTTTTTCCGGCGTTATATAATAAAACTTTTTTTTTAAGTATAAACAAATTTTTCCTTTATATTATCCTTAATTTTTGACAAAATAAAAAAATTTCAACACAAAAAGTGCCGAAGTCCCACCCTGCTTAAAATACCCCATAGAGACCCTGTTCAAACCGATAGATATTTGTATCGGAATGTATGGTGTTTCTATAGGGTGTATCGGTATGTATAGGGCCCATAGTTGGGATTTATGGTTGTTCTATAGGGATATCCACCCTTGATTTATTTGCTATTGGTTTCAATGGGGAAAATACACATATATAAATGTAGAAATTAGTTTTTCCCCCATAGAACCCCATAGGTTTTAATAAAATTTTGTTAAATGTTTTATGGTTGCTCTATAGGGATATCCCTATATATTCTTCATTGAATTATTTGCTATCGGTCTCAATAGGGAAAATGTAATAGTTATGGTGTGTCTATAGGTTATTTCCTATAAATTTTCTATCGGGCCGTATCCGGAAAAAACCATGGACAAATGCACGTATTGAATCCGGTAGCGCCCGATATATTATTTTGTATAGGTCTCTATGGGGTATTTTGAGCAGGGCAAATTATTATATTTATTTTTTGGATATAACAAAAACGTTTTTTCTTTTTTAATCATGGAAGTCAAATCCACTTTCTACAATATTTCATAATCAAAATTAAACCTTCAAACCTGAATATCTCAGAATCACCTATTTGTGACTAAGGCACTTCTTGAATTGACCCCTTCAATTGCTCTATTATGGATTAAATCCTCGCCGCACTATGGTTTATCGGCGGAAAAAATACATTTTGAAAAACTTTTTATTATGGGTATTTTTAAAAACATCTTAAAGCAACCCGATAAAAAAAGATTGTATATAATTGTATAAAATTATATATAATTATATAAAAAATGGCCCGATATAATTGGATAGAATCCTATACAATTATGTATATAGAAGACTTCTATTAGAAGTATATATAATTATATAAGAAAACCGACCTGATATTATTATATAGAATTCTATACAATTATATAAGAAAACCGACCCGATATTATTATATAGAATTCTATACAATTATATATAATTATATATAATCATATATTATTATATTCCTGCCAAAAGTCACCAACTAAAATTTTGTAAAAATCTTAGTTTAAATTACTAACCAAATTTACCTTATCTTTAATGTATAAAAGTCAGTAAGTGCTTTAAGCATTATATGCATATATGACTTATACATTAAAGATATGGTTAATTTGGATATATAAACAACAATCTACACAACTATGTTTTTTAAGATTTTCACAAAATGTCAGTTAGTGACTTTAGGCAGGAATATAAAAATATAATGTCATCAAAACCTGCTCACCATTATTATTGGAGCTACAAAGTACTTAAGTCGGTTAAATTAGCAAATTTGTGGTATTTTTACAGAAAAACAATTGAACGTCGGGTTTCCGAAGTTATTACAAAAATAATATTTTTTTAAATGTATATTTTTACATATTTTAAAACACAACTTAATATGAAACAAAAAATTATTATAGCATTACTACCCTAAACTTAAAAATACACAATTGATAAGCTCTGGAACTTTCTAATGGTTGTTGAAATATTCAAATTATAGCAATCAGTCAAGCAAATTAGTTTTATTTAAGCTTTCTTAAAGAGAACACTATAATATAACAAACACACTTTTGAAGCATACGATATCTAGATTCACGCCACAGAAAAAGAATTTCTTCTAACAAAAGGCGACAAAGAACACCAAAACACGCCATCTTAGCTTTCTCTCAACCACTCCAGTGTTACCACCATAACGTATGGCGGCAAATTAACACAAACTATTAAATGAGTACAGATTCCGTTTGTAATTAAATGTTTAAGGTTAACTGACGCTTACTACCCTATTTATTGTTTAGAGACCTCTAAAT